ATTATTTCCTTTTTTGTTTAAGATATTGACGAGTGTACCCAAAGTCCTTGCAAGAATGGAGCTACTTGTGTTAACCTTCATGGAAGTTATCGCTGGGATTGCGTGACTGTATATTCAGAAAAAACCTGCGAAACAAGTATTTCGTATGTATCATAGTGCAGGTGTAAAGCAGAGGGATCAGTCTAGTGACTAAAAATTTTAACAAGCTGTACATGTTTGATTCTCAGATATAAATGAGTGTGAAGCTGAGCCCTGCAAGAATGGAGCCACGTGTGTTGATCTTGTTGGAGATTATCATTGTCATTGTGTGTCCGGCTTTAATGGAGCAAATTGCGAGAAAGGTACACACTAGCGAACTATTTTAGTGTTATAGTCATTCCGTCGAACCTGTATTTAGTGGCACCGTATTAAGCGGCTACCCTGTATTTAAGCGGTCATCCTGTATCAAACGGTCGCTTGTCAAAGTTCTGAATTTTTTTCACCTCAGGTACTGTCACTTTCACCTCTATGTAGCAATCACTTTTATCAAGCGATCGTGTTCACCCTTCACTGGGTCCGAACGGCACGTTTGGATTGTCCTCCGCCTGTATTTAACGTTCACTAAAGGCAGAACCACTCGAATAAAACTAAGGATATTAATCTTTCAGGTAAAACTTAATCCACGTTTCTCTACCGAGATCAATAGCAGTGGTATTTTTGAGCGAGGTTTCTACATTAAGAGGTCAATTACAGGATAAAAGTACTTTTTTTTCGTTTTTTATAACACCGCCTCTCCCCGTGGGTGACCGCTTAATTTAGTCTGTAATTATCTGAGAAACAAATAAGAAAATTATTGTCACAAACTCGCCTTAAATATCCGTTTTATAGCAATCAAACTTTTTCCATTTTTTGTTATTTTTGTTTAGTTCCAAAATTAACCACTTTGTCACCACCCGTCACTACTCAGCCACTGGTGATAGGTAAGCGGGAAGGAGACGAACCATCTGAGATGTTTGTAAGTGACTCATTTGCACCACACATGTAATACTTCCTTTTTTTTTGCCAGGTGCAAACGCATGTAACCTGATGATTTTACCTCTGGACACAAGGGTAACACGCCATGGTTTCTTCACTTCACCCTGAAGTTTCATTCTGCCTATCTGTTGCCCTTTTTGGCCAGGAAATCAGTCATCAATCAATAAAAGTTATAGCGAATATAAATTTGCAATATTCATTTCTTGAAGCAAACCTTCCTTTGAATTTAATAAAATCTGTAAGGAAAGCTAGAAGCATGGTTAACTGACTCTATCTGTTGTAGATGGCTTTTCGATAGAGCGTCGCAAAGCCAGAACCAAAGTACTTACAACCGCCAATCAGAAGAAAGGAAAACATTTTAAGAGCCGATGAGAACTCAAAGTAAAGAAAACCAAACTGTCTAAAACGCGAGAAAACGCGAGCGGTCAATTCTGATTGGTTTCAGTTTTGCATCACACTGATTGAGAGAGAGTGGCGCGAGTTTGCTGTATCAATCATGGAACGAAGTAAAGAAAATGGAATGCTGGCTTGGATTACCTTCGACACTCGATTGAAAAATTTTCTAAGAAATTTTAAAATTAATCACCTGCGTGTTTTGATACTCAAGCGTAACAATTGAGGTCTGCTTGCCGTTTAAAGCCTGTTCAAGTTAATCTTCTTACAAAAATCTTCTCTATCTTACTGTGACAGGTAACTTTTTTTTAAACTGAGTTCATATTCATTGCCCTCCGGATTATTCAAAGCCGTTAGTATATTGTATCACTGCGTCAGTCAATTTTCTGATCACTTTTTGCCTATTTGCTAATTTGCCTCTTTTTACCCGCCCTTTCAAACCAACTTTGGTTCAAGCTACATTCAATGAGGGCTGATCATGAACGTGTACTCGTTAAGCCTTTGGACAGTGTTATTAAGTAGCTATGTCAATCAGTCATGTGTAAGCTCTAGACTCAGTTCATCAACTGATCTTCCTGAAAGACAGGGGATAAAATTTGAAAGAACGAGTAATCTGACAGAAAGGTTTGTTGGCGGTAAATCGAAACACTCCTTGACTACCCTAACTTACTCCTTAATCTGGAGATATTTCTTGTAAGCCTGTGTCTCATGTAGACACTAGAGTACAATTTGGGATTTTGGACATTAGGGTCGGATTTTTGATGTTGGACACTAGTGTCAGATTTTTTTTTATTTATGACATCAGTGTCCGATTTATGATTTTGGATCCTAATTTCCTATTGTTGATTTTGGACACTAATGTCCGATTTGTGATTTTGTATACTAATGTCTGATATTTTAATTTGGACATAAGTGTCCGATTATTGATTCTAGAAATTGGTTTTCGATTTGTGGGGATGTTTGCACTGGGAGTGATGTGTCCGAGATATGATAGTAATAATCACAACAACAACAATAATAATAATAATAATAATAATAATACTGATAATAGTAATAATGATAATGATATGAGATATTTTTTTAGCGCAAATTGTTCTATGCATATGGTTGATGATATTAGCTATCCGCAACAATTAATCAATAATAATAATAATAATAATAATAATAATAGTAATGATGATAATGATATGAGATAGTTTTTTAGCGCAAATTGTTCTATGCATATGGTTGATGATATTAGCTCTCCGCAACAATTAATCATGTGTGAAAATAAAGGCCAAGGTCATTGATTCGTAAGAAAACTGTTGTGCTGCGTCGGCAGGAAATTAAGAAAAATGTTAATCAACTATAGGAAAGTGCTCTAATAACGTAAAGATGTGATCATCACAGTAAAGGTAGCAAAAACAAGACGTTTATTAGAATTGAAGTAACCTCCAAAGAGAAGGTGGGTCTTCTTTCAGCTGCAGTATTTCTTTTTGTCAATCACTGTTGTCAGTCCGAGTTATTGCCTTTTAGTCAACTAGGCAAACTTGTTGTTCCTTGGTAAATTTTACAAATTTTCAACGTTCAGTTTGAGTGAAGATTTTTTTTTTTCACTCGCCTTTTATATAATAAAAATTGATAACTAATGCTGATCACCTACAAATTTCGATTTTTCCTTTCCCAAAATTAACGCAATCTTTATATATTTCGCTATTCCCATTGCACGGGATTTCAACTAAGAATTTAATTCTAATTATGTACTTTTGTCAATAACTGAATGAAACTGAATGTAAATCTAACCTTAAATCCTAGGAAAACGTCGTGGCATGCGATAAAAACTCAAAACACAACCATCATTTCAGTATGTATCAGAGACAGGTAATGTGAAAAATGTATCAAAAGAATGTTGTATCTGAGATTTTTGAGTCAGCAACCTCGACAAAGCTAAAAGAAATATTACACAATGCATGTTATTACCTTGTTTTCTCAGCTTTGCATTCCCTCGTTATGTTCTTACTATATGTACGAAGAAAAGCATTATACACCAAGATCAGGATTTAATTTCACTTCAAGAAAAATCTTACTTTCTCGCCAAGCTTTGTAATTCACAGTTGTGATCTATCGTCAGAAATCTTTCTAAGGAGAAACTTATGGCTGAAATCAAATTAATTATGATTGTTGTAATATTTGTTTATTTAGCTGTTGTTCTGTGAGTAAAAGATACATTCAATTCACTTGGCATTTCATATCCCTTACAAATTTGTACGACGGTGTAAGATCTGCTTGGAGTTTTTTGAGGAAACACCAGTAAATATATTTCAAAGAGGCACTTTAAGGTATTTGATTGAAACAGGTCTTTGTAACTTAATCCGATCGAAAAATAGGATAATATTTTAACCATGGTTGTTGATAGGATCAAAATTTAGTGATGGCTTTTTTGGCTAACAGTTAAAATTTTGGCCATTTTACAGCTATCGGTTAAATTCTCTCCTTTATGGTTCTAAGGAAAACTTTTAAGGCTAAACTTTTTTTAAGTCTCTTTAAATTTGTCAATTTTCACACCTAACGGCTACACTTAGCTTTTTAGCTGTTTTAAGTTCTAATGTTATCAGTTAACCCCAATGAATCTTCCTTTAAGGCTTAAAACACTAAATCGATTGGATTTTGGCGCTGAGGTTCCAATTCCTTGACTTTTCATACTCTTTGTGGAACAGTTTTCGTAACGGAACTGTCTTTACAATCCACCAAGTGGATGTGAAAGCCTTGAAAAGGGAAATGAAATAAAGGTACCTCTAGTTGCAGTAACCTTGCTTGAAGATAAAAGAAAAAAGGGAGAAAGCCAAATTGGAATCAATCAGCATATATTATGAGTATAAGGCATTAATCAGCACATACTTATTTATTTATTTAATTATTTTTTTAAGTTTTGGAATCGCTTGCAATTTGTTAACAATATGTAATACTAAGAAACGTTTTTTTAGGGAAAATTTTGAGAAAATGTTTCGGCTGCCAGGCATATAGTCGGAAGATAGTTCCATATGTAAATAAATTCCTATCCAGGCCTTTTCTTTTTTTTTTCTATTTCTTTTTGCTTTTTTCAAACAACTTTGTTTAAATTAGGTGTATATAACATATAAAAAAATGACAGTAACTGAGAAAATATATATCTGGATTTCAGTATGAAAGCTGGTTGCGACTTACCAATATGCATTCCATCTAATCGCGAATAAAAGAACGGATTTATACAACTATCTTTTATAATATCTGAATATGACGAAGAACTGGTAATTCACTCTATTTAGTGCTTAGTCTTCGAGATATTTCTGACGTAGCTGTATGATGTTTAAGGTTTCTCTTTTCAAACCGTCACTGATTTTATTTTTATCTTTTTTTCTGGTTTTGTAGCAAACGAGTGCACTGTTGCAAATTTCGAATCAGTTAACACTCTCGAAAGGGTCTTGAAATCAGTCTTTTCTCTGAGAAAAGGAGGAAAGTAAATACGCATTGCCAAAGTGAAATTATGCTATGCCTTTCAACGAAATCAGGAAAAAAATTCATTGAAATTACAGTATCCTAAATTTGAGTTTGCTTAAATCGACCTCTCTTGCCGTTTAGAAGGGTGGAAATGAAATGATAACGATTCCGTCTCGATTCGATTACATTGTTGAGAAATTCCAACGTCCTTGAGAACTAATTAAAACGTTTGACTTTCAAAATTCTATAAGAAAAATTAACATTAAAAAAAAAAGAAAAAAGATGACTAGATAAAATCTAAGAATATGGAAAATACTACTCTTATCCCTCGTACTGGCATGGTATAAATTAATCAAAGGTACAAGGAAGTCCTCTAACACCTAAGGGTTGGTAGTTAACACTCCTCATTACAGACCTATTGGGCATTGCACAGTTGCTTTCTTTTTTTAAAAAAATTTACAGGTGCGACAAAGATAATGAAGCTGCTCTTTGCCGTGTTGGTCACTCTGATGATTAGGGATATTTTCGTGACAGTCGAAGGTGATATTTTCGTTTTCCCACTTCTTTTTTTTTCTCGTTTACTTCTTTCCTGGCAGTTTCTTTGTCAGTGTAATTGACATTTACACGATAATTTGTAAGTAATAGGTTTTCTTTCAGTGCACGTAATGCAAAGTTGTAATACTTTCCTTTCCTTTTTCGTCTTACATTAATTCTCAGGAGCACTACCTATCGGACGTTCTTTATTTCGTAAATTCCCATGCGAAGAGCTGTTTATATCGTCAGTTATGACATTTGTCTGAGTTTCTGAACAAGTCGTACAAGTTGTAACTATCCTAGTTGTATAGCTATCCCAGACGGTAACTTTCACCTTAAACTGCTCTTGTTCTACAAACGTCCTTTTATAAACTATGTAATGCCATGCATGCAACGCCTTCATAGAATAAGATTTCTCCGTATGGCAAAAAGCTTGTTTTTGTATTTAGTCTCCATATTCTGCATTAAAAGAAATCGAAGACGAGATATTTAAAAGCCATTTAGACTGCATCTGTTTCTTTGCCTTTCACTCGGCAGACGAAAAAACATTTTTATTTTATAGACGTGATTATTTACTCGGAGGGAAATAGCAAGGGATATTTGGAGTCTGGGTAGCCAATCAGAGAGCGCCTTCGATGTCTCGGTTTATACTTGAAATAGATTTGGTTTGTTCAACAGGTTCTTCAATAAAAGTTGAGATCCGAAGCGAAGGCTGTAATGATCCAGATAAAACGCCAAATACATGCGGCAAAGCATATATCAAGGTGAATGACGTTGAACACGCTAAACAACGCAGAGGGCACAATGTTGTCGTCGTGGATGCAGTAATAGGTTAGTCTTCCAGTAAAAATAACATTACAACGTTAAAACTTGAAAAAGAAATAGATGGACTACATATGAGCATTTAGACAAATTTATGTCTACAACAACTGAAATGAAAAAAACTATCGAAATATAAACAGTGTTCTACAATAGTGTATGAAAGCATTAAAAGAGTACGAAAAAAGACATATTCGAACTCTTGCTCATAGAAATAGAAGGAAAGGTAAGGGAACTTATTTTGTAGCACTTTGCTTACTCGGCTTTTATTCCATAAATATTGTAAGTGTATGTTTCAATTCAGGAATTGTAGAGGACTCCGTGGTTTACGATACCCATGGAAATACTGACGCTGGTAACCAGTTAAAAGGCTTTCTTAACGCAATTTCTGGAGAGTAAGTATCAGTTTGTCTTCCAAACTGCAATTATTATTCTATTCTTCAAAATGGGACCAAATCTCGGAATTTTACAGTCTTTCATAAGAAATATAAACTCGGTTGTCCTGCGCATAAAAGTGCGCCTAATCAGGAAACTTTGACGCAAATGACGACCGTCATTCGGCACAAGAATTGAACAACGCAAGCCACCGGGACGAATAAGGAAATCGACCCAGACATGCTGCTAACTTCGTCCAAAACGGAGACTAGTTTTCTCTTTCAATGAAAAGGCAAAGCGTAGTGGAAAAATGATAAAGGTGCCAGAATTTGTATTTGCATTTGCATTCATCTATTTCTCCACTCCACGTAGTAGTAAGTTAAGTTATTTGATAAACAAGGTAAAACTATTAGGCAAAATAATTTTGTACTACAAATAATGAAGAGGAGAGGCACACATAAAGATACCTAATATAGCGCTCCTTGATTTTATATGAAAAGTTATTCCCTAAACTGGATTTAACTAAAACAGCTTAGATCAAAAAGGAAGAAAGAAGATGCAGTAAAGTAATAATCAATATTTATTTTGATAATAATGTGCAAGTGCTTCAGTTTTAAACATTTGCATAGTTGGTTTTTCTCTAATAGGTTAAGGAATATTGTTCCATACATACCTACCTTTAATTGTTAGACTATATTTTCTGAGATTTTTTTTGAAAAGAAGGAATTGACAGAAGGGTGCACGATACACTTCGAGTGCCATAGCCATGCATCTTGGACACTAACAAGATAGTAAATTTGAAATGTTTGTCAGCACTGAAATCAGTAGTCATAATGAAGTAAAGACTTATAGAGTTTCACATTGTCAGGAACTTTCAAAAGTCCCAAAGCGGTTGTAACGAGGAGTAATCGGTTCCTTTATTTTACGAACCGCTTTGTTTAGTAATTTTACTTCTTTAGAAAGTAAAACATAATTATTTCCCCAGAGCGCACAATAGTAAACATAAACACCTTTATTATATGAAGCTTTGGTACATTTTTACAGTTTTCTTGTCCTCTTCAGTAAGATAGTCCTGGTTGCAGTACAAGACGAGGGCTCACGCTTCAGTAAAGATGCTTCTGATGCACTGACAAGAATGGGAGGCTACGATCTGGACTCTCTCGACTACCGAGGATCATACGCTCTTGTTGGACACCCAGGAGAACAGAAGCCATCTTATGTTAAACAAGTGCAGAGCAAGAGTGGACAGGGTCCAAGCATAATCTCCATGACAATTCCACTCACGGAAAGTATGTTATATGATTATTAAACAATATTTTTACATGAAAAGTTTGAGGTGTTCTTATGCGATACGTTTATACGCGAGACTAAAAAACCTTGAATTCAAGGATTTCTCAAGGTTTCTTGGATAATAACCACCCTTTTTATTCCGATGAATGTCTCGGCAACTCATTATTTCAGCCTAGCACAATAGTATTAAGTACACTCTTAATTTTAAATATGAATTCCTGCAATTTTAAAGTGAAACCAATAGTCTAATTGTTACAATTTCATCGAGTCACAGTCTGTTTGCTTGGCTTGAATACATTCTTATCAAATATGATTCATTAAAGTGAACAGGGTGTTACTTTTAGTCTGAAGAACGTACTCAAAAACGCATGCCTGAAGAGCATATTGAAAAATCTTGGTAACCGAATTTCATATTTGAAATGTAATAATTAAAATAACGTTAACTGCCAGACAGGTGATAATCAATAGTGTTTGTTGTGTCGTTTCAAATTGAGATTTATCTTATCTGGGTAATTTGAGATATGAATGAGCGAACTTACTAGGCGTGCAAAGAAGGGCCGATTAGGTCGCAACCATTGACCATCCACAATACTTTGTGTTCCGGTCCTTTGAAAATTTATCATTCCTTTTCCCATTAATTGCGATTTCTCGCTCTTCTTCTCTACTCTCGAAGTTGAATTTGAAGTTTGCTTTTTAGATAATCAATATTTTCCCTTTTCTTTTTTTAGGCCTCACTGACGAGTTGAACAACGAATGTGAAGCCGATACTGTTTGACATCCATTTTATGTAACCAGACCGTAGGACGTAGGACTTTTTTTGGACGGCTGGATTCAGTTTCCAAAGGAGTTGCAAAGTTACCACTTATTGTCCTAGTTTGATACCTTAGCTTAGCCCCCTAATTTTACCTGTCTCGTGTAGAAGCGGTTAGTTGGCCGTCATGCATCTCAAAAAATGCCAAAAAAAAAAGAAAAAAAAGCATGCATGAAGCAGTAAAGATTGATAGGTGAATAAAAATCAAAGTGATACCCATGTTTGTTCGTCTCCATTGTATTTGTTTCTGGTGGTTAACTTCAATCAGTATAGTTCTTCTTTTAAATTCCTGCCTTCATTTTGCACTGACATAAACATAATTGGATCGAGGCTGGATCTTAAATTCAATTGCTTTTAGTTCCGTTCTGATCTTACCATTTTTTCCACGTGGCAAATCGACGTCGTCTTAAGCTGACATCAAAAGTACACATTGTGCTTTCTCAATTTGATTTGTTGACTAACCTCCCTGTTCCGTTGGTAAAATTCGTGATGAGATAATCGAATACCTGGCATTTCTATGGTGCCCTTAGGAGTCAAATTCACTTTGCCTTTTCGCCATTTTTACGTTATGCATACATACGAAGCCTACTATTCACTGATTCTTATCATTTAAAAAGTTCTTTTTTCCCTCCTGTTCCAAAATTTTATCGTTCCGTGTCATTGGCGCATTGCGCAATTCTAATACTTTTTTACCTGGACGGAATTGCAAATTGGATTTTCTCTAGGCTATTCCGTGTTCACAACTCTGGTGCTTTCATAGCACACTTAATTCCTCTACCATAAAAAGTCGAGATTTCGTTAATTTTTTGGAGTTTTTCATCGTGATTCTTTGCGTTTGCTGCCACAATGTTTTAGAAAAAATTCCAAGTATTTTTTTCTTATTCCTTAAATGTTTACAGACTGGATGACACTTTCTGATCGAAACCGATCCCAAAAGTTTGTTTTTATTGCTTCCAAGAAAAAACACTTAAAGCAACGGATGCAAACTCCAGCAGAATGGATTAATTTCAAACGAAACTTTGCGAATAACTAGTGTTAAACTGATTATTGTGGTAATGCAAGAGCTAAATTAAAGTACATTTA